CAAGTTTGTGAGAAAATTCCTCCCTCGAATCTGGATTGTACTATACATACATAAAACCTATATCTAATGTTGCATATAAGGTAATTTTTCAAAATGTTAATTCATTCCGCACATGGCATGATAGACTAGGTCATCCTGGAATAGGGATGATGAGAAAATTATCTGCAATTCATTTGGTCATAATTTGCATAAAGCAAAGTTCCCACAATCTTCGGATTTTATATGCACCGCATGTGCATCGTGAAAATTGATTTTAAGGCCATCAACTCTTAAAATCGAGTTGAACCACTAAAATTCCTTGAGAGAATCCAAGGAGATATTTGTGGTCCAATTCAAATAATATATGTGGACCTTTTAGGTATTTCATGGTTCGATAGATGCATCTACAAGATGGTCTCATGTGTCATTATTATCGACACGCAAACCATGCTTTTGCCAAAATATTGTCCCAACTAATAAAGTTGAAAGCGTATTATCCTCGAACATCGAATTCAATCAATTCGAATGGACAATGTCGCTGAATTTTCATCCCATGCCTTTAATGATTATTGTATGGCAACGGAATTGAAGTTCAACATTCTCGTACCTTATGTACATACTCAAAATGGTTTGGTTTGAATCATTGATAAAGAGAATTAAACTCATTGCTAGACCAATGTTGATGAATTGTAAGTTGCCTACTTGCAGTGTTGGGGTCATGCGCTTCAAGACGCATTTCTGAATTAATCCAACTACGACCGAATCGCATATCATGAGAATTCCCCTTGCAATTAGTACGTGGAAATCCACCAAGTATTTCCCATTTAAATAAGTTTGGGTGTCTTTGTTTATGTACCCATCTCACCACCTCAACAGACCTCTATGGGGCCACACGAAAATTGGGGATCTATGTGGGATTTACATCTCCGTCGATCATTAAGTATATAGAACCTCTCACCGGGGATCTATTTACGGCTCGGTTCGCTGATTGTATTTTCAACGAGGATCATTTTCCGGCATTAGGGGGAGATTTGTACCATAAAAATGAATGTCGGGAAATTAATTGGAATGCGGAAGGCATTTCCTATTCTGATCCACGTACTATGGAAACTGAACATCAAGTTCAGAGACTTATAGATTTGCAAAACATTGCAAATAATCTGCCAGATGCGTTTACCAACTATAAAGGTGTTGTTAAATCTTTCTATCCTGCAAGGAATGTGCCAGAAAGAGTGGAGGTACCAAATAAAACCACTCAAATTATCCCTCTTGGAAGCAAGAGGGGGAGAGGCAATTCCAAGGTGCAAGATAAGAAACAAAAGAAAGTGGTAAACGAAGATCAACTATCTGTTGATGTGAATCACCTTGTTACTAATCAATATCTTCTAGAAAGATTTGATTTGATTCCTAGCCCAGTCATGCGCATAAATACTGAGGCTGGGACATCGGAAGGCCCTAGATCTATTGTTTTGGGAAATCATGATGATCTATTAAGGGTTGATGAAATTGCTATTAATTATATAGGGACTGGAGAGTCTTATGATCGAAATGCTACAACTGTCGACATCTTTTTCTCTGAACAAATTGCTGAAACCCTTCAAAGTGATCCAGATCCAAAATCCATGGTAGAGTGCAAGAAGCGCTCGGACTGGAATAAGTGGAAGGATGCAATAGAAACTGAGATAGCCTCGCTCACAAAACGGGAAGTGTTTTCGGCCGTATTGCCAACACCTCCTGGTGTCCATCCTGTTGGATATAAATGGGTTTTCGTCCGGAAACGGAATGAAAACAATGAAGTGGTGAGATATAAAGCAAGGCTAGTAGCACAAGGCTTCACGCAAAGGCCTGGCGTTGATTTCAACGAAACTTATTCTCCAGTCATGAGTGGCATAACTTTCCGATATTTAATATCTTTGGCAGTACAAAATCGTCTGTCTATGCAGTTGATGGACGTGGTGACCGCATATTTATATGGGTCATTGGATTCTAAGATATACATGAAAGTTTCTGACGGAATTAGTATACCAAATCCTTAGGCAAATCGCAACATGTTTTGTGTTAAGTTGTAGAAGTCGTTATATGGCTTAAAACAATCGGGCCGAATGTGGTACAATCGGTTAAGTGAATTCCTTAAACATAAGGGATACACAAATAATGATGATTGCCCGTGTGTCTTCATTAAGAAATCCGTAACGGGTTTTTGCATTGTGTCTGTATACGTTGATGATATAAATATCATTGGTAACGAACATGACATTAATGAGGCACGTCATCATTTGAAGGCGGAGTTTGAAATGAAAGACTTGGGTCAAACCAAGTTTTGCTTAGGTTTGCAACTTGAGCATTTTTCATCTGGGATTTTTGTATATCAAGCTACCTATATCCAGAAAATGTTGGAGAAATTCAATATGGATAAAGCTTACCCATGTAAAACCCCCATGGTTGTTAGATCTTTGGAAGTTGAGAAAGATCCTTTCAGACCAAGGGAGGAAGGTGAAAAGATTTTAGGACCCGAGCTTCCTTATCTAAGTGCCATTGGTGCACTTGATGTATCTTGCTAATAGTACCCTACGGATATTGCTTTTGCGCTTAATTTATTAGCAAGACATAGTGCCGCTCCTACCAAGCGTCATTGGGTTGGAGTTAAAACTCTTTTAGATATCTCAATGGCACAAGACATCTTGGATTATTCTATAGAAAGAATCAAGATCAAAATTTATTGGGTTATACTGATCTCGGCTATTTATCCGATCCCCATAATGGCAAATCCCAAACCGGTTTTATATTTTTAAATGGTGGAACAACAATTTCTTGGAAATCATCCAAGCAAACTTTAGTGTCTACATCCACCAACCATTCTGAGATTATTGCATTATATGAAGCCTCACGAGAGTGTGTATGGCTTCATGAATGGTAGACCACATTGAAATCATGTGGAATTGGTGCACTTGATGCACCAACAATTATCTTTGAAGATAATGCTTTGCTTGTGTTGTGCAAATGGAATCAAAGTTACATCAAGAGTAACTTGACGAAACATATCACCCCAAATTATTTTATCCCCATGAGTTGCAAAAGAATGGGGAAATTGAGATTCTCGCAAACTAAATCATGTGATAATCTTGCCGATCTATTCACAAAGTCCCTACCATATTCTACGTTTCATAAATGCATTGAAGGAATTGGTATGGTTAGACTTAGAGACTTGCAGAATCGGGGGAGTATCTCTCGATACTTAATCCATTTCACATCGTATTATACTCTTTTCTTTGTATGAGTTTTACCTTGAAAGGGTTTCTCATATAAAGTTTTTAACGAGGCAAGATTCATTATGTATGTCATATCATCTAGTTTTTCCCCACCGGGGTTTTTTAGGAGATGATATATTAAGACATTGCTATATGATTATCATGGTATCCTGATATATCAATGTGTTCCTAAGTTTTTCCCACAGTGGTTTTCTAAGGATTAATAATATTAATAATTATGATGAACATTGGAGCTCCGTAAGATAATTGATTATGGGGAGTGTTAAGAATATTCTAATATTCCTAATAATCAATTAGTGGGCAATTAGCAACTACTAATTGCGCTTACCGTGACTCACTTGAAAAAGACGTCAGATGGACGGGGACGTGGGGCGCGGGCTCTCCCATCGCTCACTCGGAACTGCCCCATCGTGGGCATGTATATATATGTGTACTGTTCATCAATAAAGATTTACACCTTCACTTTCTACTGTTCAGAATATAATACTACAACATCAACTTCTCTAATATCTCAGAGGTCACTTTGTTGTTGTTCAGACAACTGGTAATTTTGTCATTGCTTGACTATAAAAAAATTATGAATTGTCTCTTGTGAGCTGTTTTTTAGTTATCACTAGTTGGTTGTAAAAAGTTGCCGCTAAAATCATTTAAAAAATTGGGCACCTAAAATATAGCAACTCGTAGTTCATTTGGTTGTCTTTGGAAGCTTTCCATTATGCGCAGAATAGCATCTAAGATCTAACAATTATAGTTACATCATAGATTTTGATACATGAAAGTACTAAGGCTACATCCTAGATCATTTAAACACTTAGTTCAACATACAAGCGTACGACAAAAATTATACGATAAATTAAAATACATCGTGAGTATGAGATTGCACTTCATAAGACTTAACTAAATCTACACATAATATTAAAGAGCGAAATTTTATTTACTCCATCTCTCACCCTCTCCTTTGTTCGTCCATCCCTCGATTTCCTTTACTCTCACCCTTCTCAATTTAATTTTGGAGCTGCAAAATCTTTGTCGATGTACCGTCACTCTCCACCACTCATGTCATGCTCTAGCTGTCCGAGCCCATTTGGCTTTCAACCTTCTCCCTTTGATTTTGGAGCTGCAAAACCAGCTTGTGCGTCCCACCCGTGCGTCATCGTGTGTGCAGGCATGTGGCTCGCCTTTCATCTTTTCTAACATCACAACATGTAAGCTGAGTCAATCCCTATCAATTTTCTGTACATGATTAATAATTTATTGCACTAGCATTTATTATGGGACATGTAATTTATTAACTTTTAGGTTGGGCCAAGTCCAATTAAGTCCAACAAAATTGCTAGCTCTTCATCATTATGACGAGCATCGCACAATAAAATAAATTGTCTTTAGCAAAGTAAATCATATCAACTTGCACATATAGTATTTGTGCACGAATAATAGTGAGCGTAAGATTTATCGTATCTAAACTATATTTGAACATAAAACGAACTTGTGTCACATGAGGTGTGAGCTTAATCATTCTTGAGCCATTATACTAAAAAAAATTCTACATTTGAGCCGATGAAACAAGAGCATGCTGGCAATCGAGAGTGTGATATTTCAAAATGTTTAAATCAACAACCTGTACATCTTTTCCGACACAAGCAGAAAAGCCACCACCTATATGGTCTCCATAAAGGGTAACTTATATTGTGTCACCTTGCTAGCTAGTTTCACTCTATTATTACGTGATGAACAAAATGGAGTTAGCTGCGGATGGAATTTATTCTGTGCAAAGCATCGTACTTTTACAAAGAACGATCTAAATTTAAGCTGCAGGTTTGTACTTGCCAACACTTGTAGCGTACGTACCCTAAGTTATTCCTTGATTCTTGGGGCTGTCATCGCTCTTGTTAGTCTTTGGCCTTGTTTGTTTACATGATGGTTGGGAATCAGTATTTGGCACTGTAGCACTTTCGTTTATATTTGACAATTATTGTCCAATCATGGCCTAACTAGGCTCAAAAGATTCGTCTCGTAATTTACAATCAAACTGTGTAATTAGTTATTTTTTTATCTATATTTAATACTCCATGCATGTGTCTAAATATTTGATGTGATGAAGAGAGAGTGAAAAAACTTAGAATCTAAATAAGGCCTTTATTGATTCTTGATCATGATGATCCTAACCACCAGTGAGGTTCTATTTGGCAGCTTTGTAGCTTTAGCCCTTGTTTAAGTTCTCCAAAAATGCACTATGCAAAAAGAAGATTCTCCGTCACAACAAATTTGCGGTAGAGTACTAATTGTAGACGAAATTAAAAACTAATTGCACAGTTTGCTTTAACTTTGCGAGACGAATCTTTTGAGCCTAATTAGTCAATGTTTGGACAATAATTCACAAATACAAATGAAATGCTACAGTGGAGAATCGTGCACTATGCAATGCAAACTTTGCCGAACTAAACGCGCCCTTATTCGTATGTAATGACTAACTAGCTTACTACGGCAATACCTTTGAATATAAGACTAACTAGTTTACAGTGGCATTTGATACAAAACCGTGGTTGTAAAGAGGATGTGATGTGAAGCCAAACGTTGTCGGTGACGGTGCTGACTGCTGACATACGGGGTCCACGGAAACCAACTTGGTCGGCACCGGCCGCGTGTGCACGTTTCGTCGGGTTCGGCGGCCCACGCCCCACCCCCGTCCACCAACAAACGACGGACGGCACTGGTGACACGCGTGGTCCGCTCGGTCCGTCACGGCAAGCGCGCCCGCCGCTGCAGCGCTGCGCTGCACGTCCCGCCCTGACGCCACGCCACGACAAGCGCGACGCAGAGTCACACGACACGACCCCGGACCCCCGCCAACGAAACGCCGAAACGGGGCGCGCGCACGTAGGACGCGTGACGTGCGCGCATGCTATGCTCCGACGTCCGGTCCGATTCCCATTCCGCTACGCTAGGGAATGGGAATCCGATCCCGCCCTCTGGGTCTGGGGTCTGGTCGACGGGTCCTCTCGCCGTGGGGCCCGGGCCAGCAGCTGCGGCTTCCCGGGCCGGAGGATCGCTGAGCGCTGACGCCTGACGCGCCTACTGCCTGCTCAGCTACTCCTACACGCTACCGCCACTGCCATTGCCATTGCCGTCCGATTATAGTTATTAATTAACAAAAAATAAATTTTTTAATTGCGTATCATAACGCTAAACCCGCTGTTTAGGCATCGTCTGGATGCTGCTATGGGATGACCATTCGCGTTAGTCGGTTGTATGAGTGGGATCCTCTGCGCACGCGATCCCGGTGCTGCCGATATAATAGTGGAACAAGAAATTACAAACAGCTAACTAGTACTAGTAGCATCTAAAAAAAGCCGACGGTGTTTTCCTCGTGGCAGGCCACACAGAGGGGCAACCAAAGTCGTTGCCGCAGAAATATCAATCACACAAAGTGTTCTACCGGTGGAGGACAACCATTAATCAGCAGGCTTTGCGACCAAAAGAAACAGAGAAGAGGAAAAGGGGGGCAAGCAAGAAACCACGGACGGAGCGAGGAGCGTCCTCCTCCTCCCGTCTATAAACTCCCCTCCTTTGCTTCCTCCATATATAGGGGGCCATCCAAGCCAAGAAGAGGGAAGAGCGCCAAGGACTTCCCGGCGCCCGTTCAGGATCCACATCCTTCCCGAGCGAGTTCTTGGTTGACCTCTTCCTCTTCGACCACCTCCCACAGGGTATGTGCACTGCACCCCTTCCTCCGTTCCCCGTTCCGCCTTCCCCCCCTTTCTCTGAAGAAATCTGTGATTACTGTGTCCCGGTTTAGTTGTTTAGGATCCGTTTTGTGGTTGTTTTCTTAGAAACCCTTTTGTTCATTGTTATTATTATTCAAGGTTCATACCTCGATTATGATGGTGCTAGGAAATTAGTTGTTTTACTGAGTACGTGCTAGGCTATTGCGCTAAATTTGTATCGATCTTGCTTTTTTTTTAATGAAGATCAGCCCTGTCAGCGAACAAAAGGTCGCTGTTCTCAATCATGCTTGATTTTTGTTAGATAGTGCTTTTCTTGAATTGTGTCTGGATCTTAGTGTTACTGTTAAGTAATTGCTCCGGTTTGAGAGGATTTATGTTGGGTAATTTTGAAAATGGCTGTACAGAAAGTTAATCTTCACGGAAAAAATTACTCCCTCCGTTCCAAATTATAACCAAGGATGCATTTTTAGCTGTTCGTTATGGTGTTTGTATCTTGGGTAAATAATACAGTAGTATAAAGACCAAAGGGGTGCTCATTAGGTTTGTATGTATGTTAGAGCAGTGGCCGAGCCAGAATCACAATCAAGGGGGAGCCAAATTGGTCAGATCGATCATAGTTTTGTGGTCGATCAGCTAGTACTTGCTAAAGATAGATGAAACAGCTACTGATTTATATGCGCACTTTGCAAAGAAGGCAAGCTTAGAATGTCTAGCTCTCCAGATGGACAGTTTAGACTTGCAATTATATACATATACGGAGTAAACCTTAATTAATCTTGGATAGCAAGAGGGGGCCGGAGCCCAGTACGGCCTGCACTTGGCCCCGCCAGTGTGTTAGAGCATAGGAATTGAAAGGGTCGAACTTGATGCTTGTAGTCTGCTCAATTTCTGTTTTGGACTTGGGTGGTTGATTTGATTATAACTAACTCCTTATTTCTAATGTGGATGGCATCATTCTATCCCTGGCATCTTGTCTACAATTGAGATGCCTTCATTTAAGCTTAGGACCACTTAATTGAAAGTTATCTGGACTGTAGGAATAAATAGTTGCTGAGAGGAATAATGAGGTAAATTACAATGGGCCCATGTCATAGACACATGCACGGACAATGATAAAAAGCCATTGATCTCAATATCGAGATGGTCACATGGTGGGCTTGTGAGTTGCGACTGAATTCTTCGACATAGCACAACATTTCTGCTAGCTTTGTTTTCCCCCCTTTAGTCTTGGGAAAAGCTATATCATATAGTCAAGATTTTCTTAGCTAGGTACAAATTGCTCCTAGATTCTTATGGAAGAATGTCATCAGCTGTGTTCAGTATTGTCCTCTACTCTCTATTGTTTCATGGTGTGCAGTGTGCACCCCTCTGACTCAATATTGTTTCATGGTGTGCACCCCTCTGACTTCAGGAGAAACTTATCCTATATTTTCAGTAGTGTTTGATCGCAGAAAATGTAGATGCTTGAAACTATGATGTGGTTGCCTTTGTCTACACTGAATATTCTCTAATTATCTATATCGTTCCTTTGTACAGCTCTTGGTGTAGCTTGCCACTCTCACCAATCAAGTTTTCATGTCTGATCTCGACGTTCAGATCCCAACTGCCTTTGGTATGTTAGTTATTTGTTTCCTTTTAGTTCAGTTGTCTTTTGGTTGCGATGCCTGGAATACATGCTGTTTATTCTAACCTGTGTTACACATACAGATCCCTTTGCTGAGGCCAATGCTGGGGACTCTGGTTCGGCAGCAGGATCAAAGGACTACATTCATGTACGCATCCAGCAGCGTAATGGTCGCAAGAGTCTGACTACTGTCCAGGGATTGAAGAAGGAGTTCAGCTACAGCAAGATCCTTAAAGATCTCAAGAAAGAGTTTTGCTGCAATGGTACAGTGGTCCAGGACCCAGAACTTGGACAGGTATGCTGCTCCTGACAAACTTGCGTTCCTAGGCCATCTCTATGCATCTTTAACTTCACCTGTCTACAAGCTAGTTATCCTGACGAATTTGTTCTGCCCAAATATAGGTCATTCAACTCCAGGGTGATCAGAGGAAGAACGTCTCGAATTTCCTTGTCCAGGTAGGTACCATTTGGTTTATCATCTTGTGCGCATAGACAGACATGTAGCAATGCACGAAGATGGCTAATTCTGTTCCTGATGTGTCCTGGCAGGCCGGCATTGTGAAGAAGGAACACATCAAGATTCATGGTTTCTGAGCAACCGCCAGGTCCATAGCAAACCCTGCATGCACAGCAGCTATATATCTGAGGTGGAGCATATCTGGCTGTGTACAAGCAGGCCTACTACGCCTGCGCGTTCCCCTACACTACACACAACACACAGCCCCCTCCCTGCGTGTATGCTTGTTACCGTTGTGTCAAATCTTGTACGAGGCTCCATCGAACTTCGATGGCTTGCCTCTTTATCAGAACAGGATTGAATAAACGCTATTTGGTATGCTGTGTGGCGAATGCTTTCGCTGAACTTTGCTTTCATTCAGTTTCTGTTGCCTTGTTCACATCTGCTGTGCCGGTGACGAGGATATGCCACCAAACCAAAGGATGATCGAATTGGAGAAGTACTAGCGGTTAGTTCGTTGTTTGGCTACTTCTCTTCTGGTTCATTTGTTATGCCGGTTTCATGTGGCTCTTTCTGAATGCCACATTGCTCAAGTCATCATGTAGCCGAATGTTTAAACCCATCTGCTAGGCTTTCGCTTTACAGGAGTCGTTTGATGCCTTTAAAACCATGATGGACTTGCTAGCACTAATCGCAGGGGTAGACTTCACTAATCGCGTTTCGTGGGTGTGATCATTGCAATCTTATGACGATTGAGAGCAGTTAAGAGTTGTCGCTTTTAGTTGTGTATATCTACCGGAAGGAGAGGCGCACGAGCTTTTCGTTATCTCGAAAAGAAAACGTTGTAACAGCCGCTGAATGCCTGAACTAACCTATCTTTGAACTAATGTGCCTGAAGTAAAAGCTAGTGGACTCGGAAGGGTATGGCGAACTGAAATTTTTTAGTAACACCTATTGAGGCCTTGTTTACTTCCCTTAAAGGTTACATAAGATGTTCGGACACATGCATAGACTATTAAATATAGACTAAAAAATAACTAATTGCATAGATTGTGACTAATTTGCGAGACTAATTTTTTAAGCCTAATTAGTGTATAATTTGACAACGTGGTGCTACAGTAATCATGTGCTAGTGATGGATTAATTAGGCTTAATAAATTCGTCTCGCGGATCACTAAGGACTTCTATAATTTGTTTTATTATTACTATTCGAACACTCTCATATGATACCCTAATGTGACACCCGATGTGACGTCCTTAAATTTTACTCCTAGATTTAAACACAAACTGAATGCGTGAAACGGTTTACCAGTCTGACATGAAGTTCAGCAGTTGAACCTTGCGCAGTCGGCTTGATGAAGCCTGCTGATAGGTTATGCAGTTAAGCTATCCCGGTGTTCATGGCAGTTTGCAGGATGAAGCATAGCTTGGTGGCTGGCTTTTTTTCTTCTTTTTATTTTATTTAGGGGTCGTTTTCGTTTAGGAGCGCTCCAAGCTAGCTCTGAAATTCTCCATGAAATCGTTCCTAGACAGCAAAACAGGTAAAATGCAACTACGCTTCTCTGCACTGGGAGCTGCGAGCTACACAAGCTGCTCTTATCGCTCCCCATTGAATCTCCGTCAGTCACTCTAAAATCACTTCCTACCTGCTTCTTACCCTGCTCTTCCACTAAAATCACCGCATCCGAAATTTCAACGAACTAGAACTAAAAATGGGTGAACTGTATCGAAGTCGAACAGGCCACCAAACTGGCCCTAAGCTACTACCGTACTCCAGGAGCAAGCTGATGACACTACAGTTGTGTCAGCACCCTTCCCGCCCAAGCTGCTGATACAACTGAAGGTGGGCTGCGTCCCGGAGAAGAAGGCGAGTCAGGAGGGAGGCCCAAGGGGCAACGGCTCAAGAAGCCAAACCCGAGGTACACCGGAGAGGAATGGGCCGGCTGAAGGTGCCTGCGTGCGCGATACTTGGGCCTTCGCCTCTGTAATGCTTAAAAGGAGTTGAGAGAGAGAGAGGAGAAGACAGCTTATGTCATAACAGAATTTTGCTACCTAGGCCATGTTTAGATTGTAAAAAATTTCAAACCAATGAATAGTAGCACTTTCGTCTTATTTGGTAAATATTATCCAATCGTGGACCAACTAAGCTCAAAAGATTCATCTCGTGATTTCCAACTAAACTGTGCAATTAGTTATTTTTTTTACCTACATTTAATGCTCCATACAAACGACTAAAAATTGATGTGATGGAGAGAGAGTGAAAAAACTTAGAATTTGGAGGTGATCTAAACAAGGCCCTAATACTAAGATTCATCTGCCGTATCCCACTATTCTTCTTCCTAAGCCTTTCTTCTTCCCCAAACCTTCTCTGATCTCCTTCCCCAACTCTGTTCCTCACAATCTGGTATCAGAGACACCCTTCCTCGGTCCTTCCGTTCGTGCATTCTCATCCCATCGATCGAATGATCCAACTGAGCCGGTCGGTCTAACCCGTCGCAATCTGTGAGATGCAGTTTTGCTTCGGGATTCCGTAATTCCCCTCTCCCGGATAGTTCGATTTGTGGCGGATTGTAGTTTTGGATCGATCCGATTCCACCCTTTCCCACAACCACTACACCCGATTGCAGCGACAGCGCGACGCCATGAATCCCGAATCCAAGCTGCTTCTCGATGAGCTGGACAAGCGATTCGCCGCCGCCGACAAGTGCTTCGACGGGTTGGAGCGTCAAATCCAGTCCAACAATGACACCGCCTCCTCCAGGATCCAGACCTTGGAGCAGGCTGCCAAGGACTTCGACGAGTGGCACCCCAGCATCGAAGGCGTCTACGACGACCTCAAGATGGAGGTCGGCAAGCTCTCCTCGATGAAGATGGAGGTCGGCAAAATCGCCAAGTACTGGGAGTGGTCGATGGTCAACACCGCCACCGCCACACCAGCGATGGGCGTCTTCGCGCCTGCTCCTACTACGCTGGTTCCCACCGTCACCGACCCCAAGTTCGCCGCGCCAAGTGACTCCAAGCCCGTTCTCGCGCGGCGACTTCTAGGCTGTCCCGCGCTTATCTGTGGGATTCGCAGCCGATCGGCCTGATGGGCACCGCGTCGAAAATCGAAACTGGGATGGTGAATTCGGAGTGGTAACCACTCTGATTCCACCTCCCGGCAAGGGTACGTTGCCTTGCCGTCCTCCTTGTCCCCTTCCGCTACCGTGTCCCCCACCACGTCCACCACCACCACACTCTAGTAGTCACTGGGAGTCGAGTCATCAGGGAGGCACGGGGGGTGGTCATACTGGCAAGCTCCCTAAGTTCAATTTCCCCAAATTTGATGGGGAACATCCTAAGCTCTGACTGAAGCAGGTTGTGCATTATTTTGAGCTTTACTGAGTAGAGTCTGCTATTTGGGTCCAAGCGGCCACCATGCATTTCAATGGCGGTGCAAAACGATGGCTCTCCTCGGTTGAGGATCAGTTAGAGTCTGTTTCCTGGTCGGATTTCTGCGCTCAGCTTCTCTCGCGGTTCGCCTAGGATGAACACGAGCTGCTGCTTCGTCGTCTGTTTCAAATTCGTCAATCAGGGCCTATCAATGAGTATATAGATGAGTTTGTGGCATTAGTTGATCAGCTGAAAGCTTATGCCAAGCACCCAGATCCACTTTACTACACACAACGTTTTATTGATGGGCTGTGGGATGACATTAAAGTAGTTGTGCTTATTCAGCGTCCTTCTTCCTTGGATACTGCTTGCGTTCTCGCCCAATTGCAGGAACAAGCAACGGGAGGACCCAAGAGACAATACCGGCGCATGGATGCGCCACCGGCTAACAGGCCGGCGTGGACTGCCGCCCTACCTTTACCACCACCTCCACCAAAGCTGGCTATTACTGATGCGCCACAGTTGATTGACACGCCTGCTGCTTCGGCTGAAGAAAAGTTCAGAGCTCTGCGTGCCTCTCGTCGTGCATGCGGCCTTTGCATCAGGTGCGGTTTCAAATGGAGCCACGATCACAAGTGCTCTGAAGTGGTGCAGTTACATCTTGTCCAAGAATTGCTCGATATGTTTCCTCAAACTGATGATACTGACGCTTTTAGTCCAAGTTCGCCAACTCCTTCTCAGATAATGACGCATCTATCTGTGGCAGCGGTGTCTGGTACTATAGCTCCGAAGACCCTGTGTTTCACTGATGTGATTCAAGGCATTTCTATATCTATTTTGGTTGACTCCGGAAGTTCACATACATTTCTTAGTAAGCAGTTAGCTCAGTCTTTGTATGGGGTTTAGGAGCTCAGTCCGGCTATGCCAGTGCAAGTGGCCAATGGAGCTGTCATGCAGTGTTCATCTTATGTTCATCTTATATTCCTCAAGCCTCTTGATCAGTTCAGGGTCACACCTTCACAACTGATCTCAAGCTCTTACAGATATCCTCATTTGATATGATTCTGGGTCTTGATTGGTTGGCAAGCTTCAGCCCGATGCAAGTACATTGGGCACATAAGTGGATACCTATACCATACCAGGGTAATACTGCCGTGCTCGTGGGTGAGTCTCCAAGTTTGCCTGTGGGATCACTGGTTCAACTCTGTCTGATACAGGAAGACTCACATCATCGCCCTACTGTCCCTAATATTCCTGAATTGCATGCTCTGTTGGCAGAATTTGATCATCTCTTCCAACTGGCTACTGGTCTGCCACCACAGCGATCTTGTGATCATTCTATACCTCTCATACCAGGTGCTCAGCCCGTCTTCATCCGTCCCTACCATTATGCCCCTCTGTTCAATTCGGAGATAGAGAAGCAAGTCAATAAGATGTTACAACAGGGACTTATTCAGAAAAGCTCTAGTGCTTTCGCCTCACCTGTCCTGTTGGTAAAGAAGAAGGATCAAAGCTGGCGTTTCTGTGTTGATTATCATCAGTTGAATGCCATTACGAATAAGAGTAAATATCCTGTTCCTATTATTGAAGAATCGTTGGACGAGTTAGCCGGTGCAAAATACTTCATTAGCCTTGACTTACAGGCCGGTTTTCATCATATCAGAATGAAGGAAGGCGAGGAATTCAAAACTGCATTCCAAACACACTTTGGCTAATTTGAGTTTAGAGTCATGTCTTTCGGCTTGACGGGGGCACTGTTGACGGT